TTAAATCTGTCTCCTATTGTCTGCAGTTGTTTTGGTGTAACACAGTCAAAACCCTCTAAAGTAGAACTTTAGTCATACAAACCAGTATATACATCAGCGTATACGATTAACTTTGTAGCAGTACTGATTGTGCCTTTCTAGATGCTTAAAGTGCTTAAAAAATGAAAACATGCTTTCTTGCAGTATTATGTTTAAAGGTTATGTTTGAAGGTTTTCTCAATTTCACAGCTTTTACAGCCCATGTGTGAATGGCTTGTAATGTAAGTTTAAAAAGAAAGCCCTAACTTTCTATGAAAATTCAAATGATGTGATGTTTGTGCTCAATCCAGAGCTCATTTTGTGTCTTCTGCTAACGTAATCACAATGCAGTACATCTCTTAAGCACTTATCACAACAAAGACCCACAACATGTACTCCACATTAGGGCAAAAAATAAAACTGGATTTGACTTTAGGTGGTAGTTTTGTGTTGATAATGTAAACAGGTGTACCAGCTAACTGCCAGCCTGGGTTATGAACAACATGAACTGGTGAAGTAACGCTAGGTCCAGCATAAGTGAAAAACAACAGTCAACATCAGCAGGGCATTTGATGCAAAGCTTTGTTTGTTTGATCAAAAACAACCCTGAGATTTCTTTCTTTGTACTGATGGCACACTTTGCATTTTTAACAGACGCACATTTAAAGTATTCACAGTCACAAGTTGGATTGTTAGTACAATCCATGTAGTAGAATGCCGACTTTCAAGGATAGCTAATACAGGAATGTGCAGGCATGCGCCCCTCATTTCTTCTATGAAAACAGGAAAAACAGTTGCAGCGGTTTACTGAAACATGTGCAAACACTCATGGAAATACAGTTTATAAGGAAAACAGAGTTTGTACAGTTCTATGTCCAAGAATCATTGTCTAGACCTCTTGAAGGATATCTCAAAGCATCTTTCTTGCCATTGGCACCCACTGTTAGAGTTCTCTATACATACTGACATCATTTTACCCAGAGATGTTACTGTGTAAGTGCATCCCAGTACATGGCAAACTAAAAAGCTTTGAGGGCACATTTTACCAGTAACATTTAAAAAGTACCTTCCTGAGCTCTGCTTGGATTGCTCTGAGATCTGAGCAAACAATGTCTAATAGCATCCAGCGCCGTCTTGCTTTGTAGTGACATTTAGAAAAATCTGTTTTGATTGATGGCTTCAATACTTTCAGCCAGACACTACATCAGCTGCAGATAACAGTTATTTTTGGCTTCACAGGAAAAGGTGAGCTGTTGATATGAATGATCAAAATGAATGTTTGAGCATGTAGCAAGCTGTTTCATTCCAGCAGTAGCACTAATCTGCAAGCTAAGCAGTTTATCCATGTAAGACACCTCATTTTTTTTCCACATTTGGTGAAGTTCTCACATCAGACATCCCCTCTCCTAATGACTGTCGGTCAAAGAAGCAAATATTAACAGGACTCAACAGGAACAGTCTGTGCCGTCAGATGTTAACATCAACTTACATAGTGTGAGCTTGTAATTTTGAAATTAATCCAGCAACCAAAAGCATACTCTGGCAATGAATTACCTTCAACGTCATGCCTTTGAGCATGAAAGCTCTGGGACTCTTGCATCATCAAGTGCCTCTATTATTAATTAATAAAGACACCAAATTTACTAAATGGACTCCATTGAGGTTTTTCACTAATCTGAGGAGACTGGAGCTTGAGGCAAAGTTCACATCAATAAAGACACAGATATAATATCATCTGGAGAAGCACTTACATGCATACTTATGTACACACACAGACTGCTGTGTGTGTACATACAGTCTTTCTAGAGAAGATGAGAGAGACTGGAGAAATTACTGCAATGCAACAGAGAACAGAGCAGTTATTATTCTCAGTGTGGATGTCATGTGGATTTTATCATTTCCAAAATTAGCTGTATAAAGAGAGACTACCTCAATATAAGCATGGATGAGAATGCTGATCTGAAGGTCACCTACTGTATGCTTTCAGTGGTGGGCAGCAGCATGATGTGGTTTTATTACTATTCAGCACAAGTTGGAGACTGATAAGAAGCTTCTGAAGAACACAAAATGCAAACTGCAGGTTTTTAAAAGCTGGCTGCACAGATTCAGAAAAACAGAGAAGTGTGCTGTCAGCAGAGGGATGTCCAATAGTTATATAAAAGACACTGGTAATTGTGCATTAAGCAGCAAAATACATCAAGCTTGAAGAAGTTTCCAATGAAATGAAATGAAACACAGGCTTAAGGGGCAGAGCCACTAACAAACGTCTCAGAATGAAATCATGAGCTTTATTAAAACACCTTTGCACATTTGTGATTATCCTGCCCACTCACTGCAAAATATACACATTTAGGAATTTCAGAGTGTGCAGGATGATGTAGACCGAAAGGTCATATTTTAATGTATATTACATTCAATAGCTGAGAGCCCACAGCTCCCTCTGAAGCCTTCTTTCCTCATTTGTGCCTGGAGCCGAAGGTTAACCAAACCAAAAACTGAAGGGGCTCATCTATGTTTTTCCTCATCCAGTAAAGGAATGTTTGTGCAAGATTTCACAGGTAATATTTACTAAGATACTTTAGGCTGAAATTACATGTTAGCAGTAAATCATAGATTTGAAGCAAAAAGAAATGTTCTAACCGGACATAATGCCTGTTAAAGGTTTCACCGAAAACTGCTTCAAGAGTTTCATTCGATTTAAACGCCGACTCCTTCGAGCTATAACTTTAAAACAGCTGAAGCTGTTGGTATCATCTCATCCATTAATGTGCTTCTTTCTTGTGCTGCATTAACTTATGAACTCTGTTTGAAATGTGGTAATAACCATGGCAAAAATTTGCTCTTGTTCTTTAAGTGTAAAGAGTAACTCAAGGCACAGCTAAAGTATTGTAAAAACGTCTGACAGGCATCATCATTAACATGGATCTATGTTTTTTAATGAGCTTTTTCTTCACAAGAAGCACTTTCTGGGCTCCCCACCCCCCTAATTTCTCTTAAGTTGCTGTATATTTTTCACACAGACACAGAGATTGACTTGTTGTGATGGCAGATCTGTTTTAAAATGAAGAGGACAGCAATTTGCCTCCCACTGTGACAAACCTGGTAATTCAGAAATGTGCAAATTGCATGGATCATAGCCAAGGCTGAGTCACTGTCACTCATGCGAGATGGTCACATGTCCTTGAGAACAAACTGTGCGAATGCAGAAAATATTTAGAAAATAAATGGCAACCTAGTAATTTGATTTAGTCTCGGTCTGTCTCTCTGTCAACATATATTTATGTATGTATATATAATCACAGGCTACTTTATTAAGTATGCCTAATCAATTGCTTTAACACAAATATCAAGTAGCGAATATCTAATCACATGGTGGCAAATCATAGCACTTCAGCATGTATATATGATGTCAGAATGAGTAAGAAAAATGATTTAGGTGACTTTAATCTGAGTGTCAAATTCTGCTGTCACATTTGGATGGTAGGGTCAGAACTGAATGTCAAAGGCATGACAGCATGGATCGATCCCACCGTGCATCCACGGGCTTTTCTTGGTACACCTTGGGACTGTTAGTACCGCTTGAGCATCATTTAAACACCACAGCCTACCTGAGTATTGCTGCAGATCATGTCCATCCCTGTATGACCACAGTGCACCCATCCAGCAGGATAACACAGCAGCAACCAGATTGCAAATCCAGTAGAGCACCTGAGTGATGTGTTGGAATGGAAGATGGTCACAGTTTTTAAGGGTTAGCTAAAACAGAAAAATGATTGAAGTAAAGGGCCTAAAGTCATGGATACACACACATTATTTAAAAAGCTTTTTAAAAAGTACAATTAAGTACACTGAGTTCAATGAGTTGTTTTGTTTTTTAGCTTCCTATGTTGTTTGACTCTTTTAAGCTCAGTTATCCCGTTTTCATGGCTCCCAAATCCAGTATGTATATATTCCACTGACACAGGCTGCAGGCTGTGCCGGCTACGTGGCATGATCCAAGCATCAGGATCATGTAGCAAACAGTGCTGCTGGCATGCTGGCCCTGATGGCTCTGTCTCCACAGCAGAAGCAGATTACTTCATTAGAAGCCCTCTGTATGAGACCTGCCTGTCCTAATGGCTTACATCTCCTCTGTGCTGTTTCAGAGCAGAAAATATGTCTGTGCAACAAAAGCAAGCATTTTTAATCATCTAAAAGATGTGTATTTAACACATGAAACCACCCTTTTTACCATCACTCTGGTTGGTAGGATTTAAAATCTCCATTCAGAGTTGGCTGAAGGAATTTGGCTCTGGGTTTTTTTTCTCTCTCTCCAGCAGCAGATTTCACATCCAGTGTAAAACAGCTGACTGGCTGCAGACTTTTGACAGCACAAACTCACAGGAGGTTCACAAAGATTATCAAATGAGCTGCAACTGTTGCTGTTTGGAGGTTGCATTGCATCACTGAGGTGAAATGAGTCATGTTCTGTCATCCTGCAAATATTGCCCACACATTAGTCAATACACTGACGCAACAGAGTAGAAATATTTTTTTATTTGCAGTCGATTTTCTGCAGGAAAAGCTGTTCCTGGGGAGAGAAAGCTTGAAAAGAAAACACAGGAGACTCATTCCCTTAGTTGTGGAGGATGATTTTATCTACTAGTTCCAGAGTATATTTGGGAAGTACCAGGAAAACCAGGAGTACCTCATGCTCTAAAGTCTCTTAAGGTTTACCTCTGTGAGTGCCCCACTTACACTACCTTTCACATTCACACCTTCCCATTTATTTTATTTTAAAATAAAATAAATTCCAAACCTGTGAGGAAAGAAGCTCTAAATGGTACCTTGCAGTCATACTGTCATACTTCTCACCTTTCATAATTACAGGACCCCTATTGGTTGGATGGGTGGCAACACAGGAGCCAATCCTGGAGCGGGCAAACTGTATCACATGCCTTTTTGTTTTTAATGATCGAGAGAGTGCCTTTAAAATGTTTTCGTGTGTGTCCGGCCCATACAGAGAGCAAAGAGGTAGAAGGTTTAGACAGCTCAGATAACCAGTGTGCAGAGAGCCCCCTCCCCTTTCCCAAGACAGCTGCTGGAACAAGAGGCCACAACTTCAACACCTTTTGCAGGTAAGGGCCAATAATAACCCCTGGAGTTCATAATTCTGGAGTGGTCGCTTGTAGTCTCATCTGCCTTGTCTTTGTTAGAAAAGTGAGGTTGTCCAACTTTTAGAAGCCATCTGTCTTTTTGAGAACAACAGATGTAATTAAGCAGCTCTCCACGCATCGATCCAAGAGAACATCTCAAGCTTTTGGCTGTTTGAATTGTCGAGTTCAGTTGCTTTATTTGATATTCTGATATTCAGAAGTGACATCTTATTTCTCTCGTTAATCTCTGAAAAGCTCTATTACAGCATGTCCTCAATCCTCTCCATTGTCTTGGCATCAGAAAGTTAAATAAAAGCGCTCTCTTTGTTCCAAGTGCATTGTCTTCTCAAGGATTTCCATATCTATCAGTTACATGAAAAATTGCCTTAAAAAAGACAAAAAAAACCTCCCAAAAATAATAAAATTCTTATAAGACTCTCGTCGCATTGAAATAATAGACTATGCCTCCAGAAGTTCAGCCTTCAAACACTCTGAATATTGTTAACTGCCTTTTCCCCCAGGAAGCACAAAGAAACAACAGAAAATGGCACGTGTTGGGCGACCGTCGCTTTCCCTGATGCGCACAGGATTCCTGTTAGCAGCTGTTTTATTACCAGGTGAGAGTTTTCATAAATTTCATCTATGATATTAGGAAATATTTCATCGGGAATTTAATGAGCCGAGGAACCATTTACATCAGTTTTTGTTTTTTTGTTTTTTTAATTTTGAGATTTCAGATACAACATTTTTAAATTAGACCAGTGAAGGTGAACTAGATGCCCTCTAAACTCCTAAAGCTTGATGTCATCTACTTTATTACATACTGAACGTCTGACACATGTAGTTCCTTTGCTCACAGAGATCACACAACTAAAAGACCAACAGTACAATGCTCTTTTAACATCAGCATATCAATAACTATTTATCACACCGACAGTCTATTGACGTATATAACGATACTTTTACTTTTGATACTGTAAGTATGTTTTGGTTTAAATAAATTACATTTTCCGATTTCCTCTGTGTCTTTACTTCAATTAAAGACCTGAGTACTGATTTTTTTTCTCATTATTTTTGGTTTAAACAAAAATACTTTAGAAGCATTTTGACCTGGTAGTGTAGTCCAACCCCGGGCACGTTAATCTCTGCCACAGAGTCATAAGAACACCATTACCCTTCTCTCTTTAGCAGTAAAATGGCTTGTCATGATGATGCCCTTTAGTACTACAAAACCTTTCTGCGGTCATAAAAAACACATCTATCACTGCCTCCCCTTTGGAAGATTTTCCACATTAATAGATGAAAGTTTCAGGGATAATCAGCTGACTTGGCTGTTTTCTTGTAGTTGTAAACCTCAGCAGGAGCAGAAGAGACCCGGAGACGTCCTTCCCCTCCCACCAGACATTTTTACAGTGTATCTGTAATTAGTTTGTGTGAGGCCTGACTTTGTAGTTTTACAGGTAAACTTTAAGAAGGCCCCCAGTACCTGCATTAATTTCACTGGGCTGGTTCAAAGATATACGATACAAGTTAGGGGCTGGGTGGGGGCTTGGTGTTGGG